TTCGTAATGAGAATTGAACACTTGAGGCTAGCCTATGGAGTGGAATTGAAAGCACAGAAGTTGTCCTGGCTCTTTATGTTTAAGAATTTCATTTAAGGTTTACGTAAGGCCGGCTAAACGCATAAATCAACCGTAGAGACAGGGACTAAAAATCGATCTTCTTACTTTCTGAATCAGCTGAGCACGAGAAGATAAGCCCATTCATTCTCTGCCATATATGCAGGCATAAAAGCAGAGCGCCAGTGATCGCGTGCCGTCATGATGTCATTGATATACTCCATAAATATCGGGCACGATCATTTTTGTTAATGTCAGTGTCAAACAGTAGCCATGCAATTTGGAGCCGTCAATCAAGCGAAAGCCGCCGTGGATCGCTTTTAGTGTAGACTGTCGTATAAGCGCGCATCGAACAAAATTGGAATGGTGTCTGATCCATTTAAAGTCGTGAATGGTATGTATGCAGTTCAGATCGGCGTGTGACGACTTTTCACATTTTCCTTTTTTAGTTCTTATGCTAACTCTGACGAGGACAATTCACCCTTTCGCAATAAGTCGATGGACCTGAGTGCCTTTATCTACTGGCAACTTCAATTGTTCACGTAATTTGGTACACACGTGAGGTCCCACAAAACAATTAATGAACATCGTTTGTTCGGTACCTTTAACCGTATTACCTCTCTAGCAAAAACTAAACTCTGGTAGCCACGCCAATGGCTCATTTCGTGGGTGCCCTGAGCTGCACGCTCACAGTAAACAGACGTCCGGCACCACCGTTAGGTCATCGGTCAAATTAATAAAACGCCACCGCGGCCGCGCCGCGCGGCGCCCGTCGGGCCGGACAAAGGCGACATTGTGGCACTGTTTTACGCCTGATGACTGTGTTTGGCCGCCCTCATTGACACAGGGCCGGGCTTCCCAAACACATCGGCCGACCAGGGGCGGCCTCCGGCCTCAGATGGAAAGTGAGTCATACTGCGGATGGAGCTGGGGGAGAGGATTCATTAAATCACATAGTGCATATTTACGAGTACATGTCTGTGATAGGACGCCTCTTTACATATCGAAGTCGAAAAAAAAAAACGTTACACAACACTAAATAGGGTACATTTCAATCTGGTTGGAAACAATTAGGTTCAAACTTCAAACGACTCAAATGTTGCATAATAAAAATGTTTGACAGACTTTAAAATAATTGTTTCATTTCTCATGTCACTGCAACACACCAACGCTCAACGAGTTTTTCAATTTCATTTACGGATTTACAGTCCGGCACTTGTTTCATCATCAGATAGTCGGCTAAAAACGGTTCAACGCATTACAAGGAGTTGGACTCTCCCTTTCATGATATGCATGCTGCATTATGCAAGACATTCATTGTGACCATAGCGAGTGGCTCATTGGCTGAGGGAACAGCGCTGTTCGGAGGATGATATCAGCGCGGCGGATGATGTGGTCGCGTGCTCCATAAGCAGGTAAGGAGCTCATGCACGAATCTTTAAGAACTGCCAATGTTGCTCGCTTAGAAGGTAATCGCATACCGCCTTTTGACAAACACTGGATTGATGGCATTAAAGCTGACCGCATGTATGGAATAGTAGTGGAGTTGTTACGTGAGCTCGGATTTACAACGGTGCATATTTGAACGACTTATGACATCACTGGACAATGTGAATGCCATGAGCGGCGGGCTGGTAAACTTCCAGCGGCGATTTGCTGCATCGCCTGCCTCCGGGTCCGACCATACAAGGTACACTGAGCAGACGTGACCGATATCGGCGTCCGCGAGCTATAATTTCACACCGCATGAGCAGAGGGCTTGAGTTATCGGCTGGAAACTCATAGCCAGCACCTCTTCACAGCACACATAAAAGCACGGCCGCCCTGCCGGCCCTAGTGTGGTCTCGGCCCAATCCATGTCGTTAGTATGCAGCCTAATCCTAACATGGTCATTGCCTTAAACGTCATGCATGGGATCATCTAGTTCGACACACGCCAACAAAACGTGTGCTCGAAAAAGTTGTGTGGAATCACTCGGTGTCCTAACCGGTAGGTAATCCATTTATCGTGCGCAGTGCACACTGCACAGTTCACTATTTCGGTAAGTTAAAACCCTATTAGTGGCAGGGGGGGGTTGTTTTTATCCACCCCTCAGGTTTTTCGGGAATATCTCCGAAACCGCTGAAGCTACGATGCTGAAATTTTCTGACTTTTCCTAAAACTAAACTGGGCACATTCCCTGAAAATTTCAAGTTCATAACTTTACCAGGGGCGGCTCCAGAGCACTGGGAATTGGGGGTCCTATTCGTGAAGCGAGTCATTTGGGCGAAGATCACGATGCTGCACCAGTTTTACGAACAGTGAATGAAAGGTATCATGTGATAACATATACAAAGTTATTGTGCATCCTCTTTTGACACGTTTTTGCTATAATAGGCGGATCCAGGCGTCCAAAAAGGGGGGTTATTTTTTACCTCCCAACATAGGTGCCCTGACACCGCCTATGCATGACCAATATAATTTTAGTCGTTCTCTCATAAGAAAATTGTAACATAACAAGACCATTGCCACCCTTTTTAGAAACAGTACCAACAAAAACCTTATTTACTATACTTTTTGTGTACCCCCAATCTCAATGATCTGTATCCGCCTATGATTTTTGAAAATGCATATTTTTAGGATCCATGTGAATTCCTGGTTCATTCTCTATCGATCGGCAAAAGTTGCGTTAAGATTGGTTCAGAAACCTGGCCGTGATAACAGTCTAAAATGTATCTGCAATTTGCCCGTTTTTACCCCCCTCTACCCCCCTATGGACATTTTTTTAATTTTTTTTTAGAAATGTAGATCTCGTTAAGCCAAATCGAATGCCGTTTGAATTTTGAAAATCGGCCGGTTAGATCTCGAGATATCAAGGGGGGGTCGTAAACAGCCCCCCCCCCTGCCACTAATATGGGGTAGCCAGGAGCCTGCCACTAATAGGGTTAAAGAGCACTCGGTGGTTGCATGCAGAGTCACCAATGAGCACAAGAAGTGTTCACTCCGCAGCAAAAGAGACAAGGTTCAACATCTCCACTATGAAGCACCTCATGCATTCACTGTTTCCCATGCTGATTCCTTAATGGATTACTACACCTGTGCAGAGCAGCACTGAATCGTGTAATGACCTCCTCCCATGATTTATTTATCAGCTCGGAGTTTTGACCTGAGAGAGCCGCGCGGTATACTGTCACCTCCGGCACTGCCTGCTTATTGTACTCTGTACACGTGTATATGCAGATCACAGGCACAACACGTGCAGGCAACTGTCGCCGTGACAGGAACTTGTGTCGTCACAACACGTGTGCCTGTCACGACCGAACAAAAAATGAGGCTCCTCGCGGATGATAACACGGCATTCAGTGAGTATTGCGTATTCATTATACAAGGCACACGGCAAGCGACGCAATGTGAAGATCAGGGATGAATTAGAAGTGTGCCTCGTGAAGTCTCCTTTGATTTCACGCTATTACCTGAACACGCTATTCGTTCTGCTCGGTAGAAAATCGGATCGATGATATTGTGGCTATTATCTTTATGTTTACTGGAATATTCGTTTTTCATCGCATCATTCCAAGAAGCTTGCATGCGTTTTAGTAAGGCGTTTGTTAATTATGTGGTGCACAGACGGGAAACCGAAGGACACACCAGTGCTTCATTTAGACGCGATGCCCCATTAGTGCATCCGAAAACGAACATCGTATTAATGAGGGTAAGGTAGTAAGAATTTTGTAACTGTCTCCCGCTTCATTCTCTGATGTTTTATCTATCACCATCTGGAGGTGACCAGAGGAAGATCTGTTTTGTCGTTCCTAATTGAAATCAGATTGTGGGACATGAATTCGTTTACAACGAAGAACAAAGGACAGAGTGACCAGTTATTGTCAGCCCAGTCTCAGCATTTACGGGTACAGCATGTGGCGACATTGTTGAATTCGATAAACGTCAAAGAGCATGGCTTGAAGACAGATCAAAGGAATTGCCGTACTTACCATTTCAGCTTTATCACCTAGACCATCACGTTTGCTTTGATCGTCAAGTCACATTTCAACACATTATTGCACACGAGCTTGAGAAGCATGCACTCTAATGGGATTTACCGCAGTGGGATCTACCCGATACACGGGTGCTAATAGTTTTGTACTATGTCATTTCTAAACATCTGACCTTTTGTAAGTAAAGTACAACTAGGGAATTATTGGCTGGGAATTTCGATCGTAAGTATGAGGAAGTTCAGCTTCACGACCAACATCGAAACATGCTGATACGATATGTACGTACACCAATGGCTGTCAACGTACCGTTCACTCCAGTAAACCACTTTTTACTGACAACCTATCGCTCCGACACCCTGCAACATTGTGTAGCTGAGGTAAACGGCGCTGTGACCGACTTTGTGTCGCCTTGCAGCCACAACTGTGGAAGTCAGGCCCGCCGAGACAGTTTGAAAGAGAACGTTCCGGCGGAGCGGCAGCGTTCTAACGGAACGGTTTGCAGCCAATGAAAACCCACCCACTCACTGCAAACGCACGCATCTCTCGCCCAAAGTGAAACCAAGGCCAGCACTACATTGCAGCCAGTTTCTGGCCGAAACAGAGTCCACCTCTCCAACTGGCTGCAGGCAACTCATTAATTCTTCAGAGTCTTGGACTTGCTTGGAAAGTAAAAACAAGTCCCGGGCCTACGACAATTATCAAAGTTCCAGCTCCATTTGTTTTGTAAAGAGGCACGTGATGTTTAATTCACGTGGGTCGTCTTGCCTCTGAATGCGCGGCAGAAAAAAAGCGCAAAATAGAAATGGTCCATGTATAAACTGCTCCGCCGTACTTTTAGGGCTTTGGCTCCCTCTGACTCCACCTAAGCTCGCTGCAGTCGTCATTCAAAAAGCCCATGCGACTTCCGACGTGACTAATGGCATGCAGCGTGGTTGTATGTCGTCTGACCGCGCCTGGGCGGTCACTCACCGTCAACCACGATCTGAATGGAGCGTCCGTCGTCATATCCGTCCACGATACAGGTGTACTCGCCGGCATCGGACGCCACCACCGGGTAGATCTGCAGCTGGAAGGTGGGCAGCAGCAGGCGCGCCCGCTCCTCCCGACGCTCGAGCGCTCCATCCGGCCCGTAGCGCGCCAGTGTGAACTCGCCCTGTGCGTGACCGCAGCCGCGGCACGCCCACGACACAGTAGCCGGCCTGCTGACCTCAGCTTGGCGCGGACAGGTCAAGGTCAGGTTGGCGCCGGCCGACACCGTCTTGGTCTCACCCCGTGCTGCGAAGGGGGGCGGAGAGTTAGTGGGAGAGGGCACAAACGAGCGCGTCTTCTAAGGGACTAACGTGTTAATCACAACAGATTGGGACCTGTAGCAGATACCACACATTTTTTACATGCTAGGCTAGGGCATTAATATTTAGTCACAATCTACAGTCAAGCTTAAGAATACATAGACTTTAAATATTTAAGTTATATACATATGTTTCATGTTTTATTAAGTGACATCAAAGACACCACACTTTTTTAACAAAACAATAGGTTCTATGATACACAGCGGATTGTCTTTTTCTCCGGTAAACCCTTCTTCACTGCAATAAAAATAAAGCGTATGGTATAGGCGCTTTCGGCGCGTGTAATCTGTGTCCCGTGGCTTGTAGTTCACACGGTGTTAGCAGTGAATCCCTCGCCGACTTTCCGCCAAATGCGGGGCCTCAGAGGCGGCGCGTCTCAAATTCCCTGTTGGTGCGCGGCCCGCTGCAGAGTCCGATGTTATCAGGACAGCAAACGTCTCCGGCATGTTGGCACAGTAGCCGAACTCGCCCGCCGCTGAGTCAAATATAAAATCCCGGGAGTTCTGGTGACTGTCAGCGTTTGCTAGTACGACATAAACAATTAATCATCTGATGACTTGCCATGGAAACATAGAGCGTTCCACCGATTAATTTGATGACATTCAGCGGTGATTTATACGGACAGTGAACAGGAATGGTTTGATGACAAATGGCAATAAACATTTTGTTTTGACTGCAAAAGACAAAACGTATAAAACATACATGTATTTGAATAATAATTGTGTTTTTTCGTGCTGAGATATATTAAACATTGGATAATAGATTGATTGGTTAGTGATTATGTAATATCGATGCATTATTTAAGATGTTCGTAAATCATGTGTATGCATTTTAAACAGAGGCAACCTGCCAGATCCTCTTTTATATGAGTTATTTTCAGTTTCGTAAGCCTTTCTTTCTTTTGTACTGCCAGTCAGTTCAAACATCTGACCGAATCAAAGAACCGATAGTTTAACAATGCTAAGCAAATGTCAAGCGCGGTGACTATCTCTTCCGCAAACTGTCTGCATGAGTAATGCCTGGCTTCCTTAATCACGCACTTCCTGAGACGTGCGTTCATTTTCGAGGCTGTGAGGGACAGGTCACGTCACTGTGGATTCCGAGCACGAGCCTGGAATGTCGGCCGATAGCGTCAAACGGAGACGGAGCCAATTATCCGGGCTTCCCGATACACTAACGCAGCGTGGTGGAACTGTGGTGGTGTGACGGATACCCTCGGCCAGCCCACAGCTCTGGCGCATACGGTGGAGGTATGGTTCAACGCAGTGTAATGACTCGTAGTGAGCTGAGTCAAGTCGAGTCGACGTGAGTTAGCTCGGGGCGGGCACACGCACGTCTATGATGAGCTCGGGGACCTCTGTTCGCCCTGGGGCGGTGGTGTCGAACCGCCGCTGCCCGGCCCCGAGGCACCTGGACACCCGCCAACACGTGCCGGGAGTACGACGCAGCGAAAACAAACGGATCATGACGAGCCTGCTGAGAGCGGGAGGCCCCCAACGTACCCACAATCTACTCACCAACAGACCCGCGTCGTCACTTCAAGGTGACGCGCAGGGCCCGCCACTGTAATCTGGTTATTAATCCAGTATCGATTCTGACTCAACTAGAGCTTACCTCGTGTCAAAATGGACGGAATGACTGGCTTACAAGCAGAAAATAAGGTCAGCTCTGTTCCACCTTGTGATCCTATAACGGGCGTCTTACTGACAGTTGAGCAACTCAGTTGCTCTCGTGCTGCGAAAATCTCCGAGCTGAGGTCGCCTTCTGGCCGTGGCCTGCGGCCGGACGCAATCTAGCGCAGCTGTCGCCACCGCAATACCCATATACGCCCCTAATGACATCACTCGAGAGCCGGGGCAAAAAAGGCTGAGCGCACACCTGTTCCGTGGCACAGCTGCGGGGCTGATAGCGTCAGGCTTGATGGCCTCTAGCCCCCGGCGGCGTCAGCCCCTCCCCCGCCAGACCTCCCTCCCCACCCCGCGTCAGGCCATGTCGGCAGCCATAGATCTCATGGCAGCGCCAGTAGCTGCCGGCTGTGACAGTTCGGGGCTGCAGAGGGCTGCTGCGGAGCAGCCGCGGCACGACAGGCTGAGTCAGGCTTCGACTCGAGCTGCGACTCTGAGCCATGAGCAGAGGGAGCACAAGACACGCAGCCGCCTGGCAACCACTCAGCTCGTCAGCAGGCATGGCTCTCCCCCATCCGACTTCCTTTCCGCCATCCACCCCACCCGCGCCGCGTTGCGTGTCCCAGCTCATAAATACGCAGGCGGCAAGTGAAATGACCGGGGAGCTAATAGGCCTTAATTAACCCGGAGGGGCGTTGACGAGTGACTAGTGGGTGGTGACAGGCGACGGCCCGAGAGGGGCGGCCGGCTCTCTTATGGTCCCGACTCCCGACGCCCCAACAGCTGCCGGGAGGCCTGGTCAAAGCCGGCAGCGGCGGCGGCGGCGGCGACGTTACTCAGATATGAGATCCTCCCGTCCCTTCCATCCCGACTCGAGCCGCCAGCTCCATTATTGATAGGGTGATTCTGTACCAGCGATGGCTCTGCGAAATTAGACTTCGACGTAAATCCTCATTGCCATGACGAAAAGCATTGCCACGTAAACGGCCGGAACGGGAAAGTGATTTTGAACGCGCGCATTCGTGTGGAGGCTCGGTTGCCTTGGAAACACTGCTGTTGAGTTTAGCAATCTGCTCGGTTTCCGTCGGTTAGTGGCACTTGAGCCAATATTAGCTGGTGTATTGGCCACATACACGCGAGAAAGCATGCGGTAGAATGTTGCAGCGTACTGAATACCAACAGGCACCCGTTAAGATCTCCTACATGGTCTCGTATGTATCACAGACGTAATATTTGTTTTGTCTCAGTCCAATAACAGTGAAATGCATGAATGCGGGGAGCTATCTTTCAGCAGACCTGCGCAGGGAAGTGGGATGCGTCTCCTCCCTCCCCTGTCTCGTGGAACGGTGCCAGTGGTGACGGCGCTCAAATGGTCGCTCACAACACCGCTCCAAATCGTCAGCGGTGCGCGCGTTCCTTCTGTCGGGGAGGCGGCGGTGGCAGACGAGTGTGGGCTACGCTTCCGCGTCAGCCCTGTGGGCGGGGATGGGGGAGCAACTGGGAAATGGCGAACAGGATGAGTGTCTTGACAACAGTCAAGGTCCTAAGGCAACAGTGGTTATGAAACGGTAGCGGCTTCTTATTCGGAACAGGATGATGAGACTCATGTGCTAGATAAGATCAGTTGACGGACTTTATGAGACAAAAGTCGTGAAACAATGAAAATCATAAGGCTTCTTCAAACAATGGATTTAGAACGGCCCGGAGGCCCGAGGGGAGTTGGCTGTTTAGATTGACGGCTCGGAAAACGCCGAGGTTATCTTGGGATTAACGTGTCAAAACGGTCAAAGAACTGCGAGCTTTGTGTGGCTCTTCAAACTAAACTGCGCTGACAATATTACAGGAAGCAATTGCCTTTAAAGGCAATTGCTTCCTGTCGAGCTCGGAGACGTCCCTGTCCTCTCCGTCACCGACACTTCGAGTTACTGTCGCCTCAATGATTCTGCGATCTAACGGTCTCCCGCAAACCACGATCCACCCCATGCGGTTTGTTCTGTCTGGACCGCTGTATCGCGCCTCAGCTCGGCCGATGCGGCACGGACGTGCACCCTTTGGCCGCGCTGTTCCACCATTACTGCCTCTCCTCGGCCACAAAAGACGGCCCGAGAAAGACAAATGAGGCGTGTTGCGGTATGTGAAGAGTGAGGGATGGCACCGGTCGCTGATGCAGCGCAGCACTGAACGGCGCGCCGAGCAGCGCCGGCGACCGCAGTTCATCCTCGCCGGTCCCCGGCCGCTGGCGCGACGCCACCGCCGCGCCCGTGCTCGGTGCCCCCTGCCGCGCGGACGTGACTCAGCCCTCGCGCACGCCGCTGTCGGTACCGACGCTCGGACCCCGTCGGCGCCGACGCCAGTGCCGCCGCCGGTGCAGACGCCGTCCGGCGAATTCACGGTACTTTGAGGCGGCAGCGCCGGGCGGCGACGCCCTGATTCTGTGCCGGAAATGCCTCCAGTGGCCGCGGCCGGCGTGGCTGACGCGGCGGACGGGTTCCGGAACCATACAGCAATTATGCGTGCAGTCTGTCATCGGCTGACCCGTTATCTGCCCCTCTCCCCGCCCCTCCCTCCTCCACATGCGTGCCCCATCCATCACTGGCTGAAAGGGGTGGGGATGGGTGGGTGGAGCGGACCCGCTAGGTCAGACAGCGGAAACGCTAGTGGACGTGTACTCGGTGATATCGTCCAGGGTTTTCGATCAACGAGGGAGATAGTTTGTAGCTAACTGATGCTGGACAAAGTTCTGCGTAGGGTATTGGATTGGGTAACAGCGAAGCTCAGTGCCGGAATAATTCAGTTATGGTGAAGTTGAGAAGCTCTCAACTTCAGTACCAATTGTAGACCGGTAGTCATGTTCGTAGAATTCGAGATCAGCATTCTTACAGACCGCAAAATGAGCGGTGGATTACCCACAACAATGTTGATCAGTAACCATAAAATTTCAAATCAGCTTTCTTGCCGTAGCAAAAGCTGCATTACCAACAACAAATGAGCAATAAAAGAGGAGCGCACCATTTTCAGTGGCTGCCTCTATAGAATACGATTGGACTTTTCTATTTCTGTCCTCGCAAAAGCTGGGTCGCAATAAAACCCACCGCCAGTGGAATTAAGTAGCCTCACCGATTCACCGGCAGTGAAGTAGTACGCCGCCGGAATCTATTACTGACCTGCAGCCATAACCAGGGGATCACCAGCGACCAGACCAGACGGCGACAGCGGTAAAACGCTGCCGAACGCGGTAAAACGCTGCCAAACTGTGGCGAGCGGACCGGGCGCTCCCCAGGGATGCAGATGGGGCCAATCG